AAACCTTTCGACAACATATAGAACTTTTTTTCTTTATGTTTAAAAGTTACAAGTCTTCAAAAATTCACTGTTTAATGAATGTGTTTTAAATTATAATAGTAATTTTGTACAAGAATCTTTCTTACGATAGAATCATTTCCATTTCTATATTTTGTAAAAGGGCAAAGTTTTTTAGTATTGAGTCATTATTAGGACTTAGTCATTTTTTATCTATGTCTTCTGTACTTTGTAAGGACTATAGAATTAAGTCATATTTTTATCTTTCCTTCTTAAATCTTAAAAATTATTATTTGGAATCCAACAAAATCATAATTCTAAACAATTAACTTTAGTGATTATTCATGCGTCCCATAAAAAGTTACCTTCTTCAACTTACAGAATATTATTGATTTTTTATATAAGTTATAAATTTCAAATGTAAGACTAATTTTTGTCTTTTTGTTTTAATTGAAATTTAAAATACTAATTATTAATTTTATTTAAGACTAAGAAACTAGTCTACGGTATGAAGAGTTATTCCAATAGTCAAAAGATTATATTTATTTAAATGCAAATAAAGGGAAATGTAGAGTACCATATGATTTCAAAAATATAACGTTTCATTTTGGTATATATATATATATATACATGGGTAAAGAAAAATATAAGAAAGAAAAATACTGTTTTCATGAGTACACTTGCACTCAGGAGAATGAGTATATATATATATATATATATATATATATATATGTGTGTAAATATGTGTGTATAGGAATGTCTAAACTATACACTAATATAGAAACCCTAAAAATATAAAAATGCATAGGTAGAATAAATTCAATGTTTAAATATTATATTAAATAATTAATAATATATAAATAAAATAATAAAAATTATTTTATTTTGTAAAATTATTATAAAAAAATAATTAATTATTTAAAGAAAAGTTATAAATTATTTATAAAAATCAAAGAAAAGAAATATTAAGAAATAAACTTAAATCTAGAGAAATAGAATTTCAGAAATAATAAAAAGAGATAGAAGACATTCATAGATAGCACTGTAGACAAGTATACATGAGAAAAATAATAGTAAGAGAGGAAAGATATAATTTCGAATATAAAGAAATTATTAATTTAATTCAAATTTAAAGATTTTTTTATTAACAATATTAAAAATAAATATAAACTACTATTAAATTAATTAACCATATTTTTCATTTTTTATATAAAATAATATAAATTATTTTATTTAATTGCTGAAATTAACAATATTAAAATAAAACTTATATGTCACATAAAAGTATAAATTATTTAAAAATTAATGGTAAAAGTAAAATCTTTGTCAAATTATTATTTTTTAAGATATTAAAGATTTAAAGAAACTATATTAATAATTGAAAAATGATTGACAGCTGGACAATGGCATTGTTCTCTGTATACGTTATAACGGAATTAGAAAGAGAGAAATAGCTCTGTCCTTACCAAAATAATTTAAATATTATTCGCTAAGAAAATAGGACGCCGCGAAAAATGCGATTAGAGGGAAAATTTGGCGGTAAGAAATATACAGCAAAAGTATTCGAAGAAAGGTAGGAAGGGAAAACCGCGGATTTTCAAGCAATCAGCTGTTAGAATTTCTCTCACACATTTACCAAATTTAAACCTACACAAGATAGAGAGAAATTTGTGGGATGAAGCGACTTCTCGAGTCAATAAATAGAGAAGCAGACCCAATTTTGGACATTCTCTAAAATTTACTCAGGCTGCTTGCATATACCTATATCTATAAATATATACATATGTATTTCAGTTTTAACAGATAGTTTTTTTGTGTATTGTAGTTAAGTTATTTTGTGATTGGATATTACAATATTAAAGTAAGTTACAAAGAATAAAAGAACAAGTGCTCAATAAAATTTTTTCCATTATTTAAAATATTACATTTTTATTAGTTATATTTTTTATTTATTTTTTTTTTTTAATCTTATATAATATCTGAGAGGCTGATTTAACAACCTTTCCAACTCAGAATTATATAAGAAATAAATATTTTGAACAAATTATAAATTTAAAGTCAAGATTAGGCAAGTAGAAGAAACGAAAAGTGAATAATCACTTTAACTCAAACCATATAATCTACAAAGTCAAGCCATGGTGAAAGACTTGAGGGGTTTCTGATAACTCGGAGTACCACCTCATTATCTGGATCCTTAAGTGGTAACAAAAGCAAATCGTAAGTCTCTTGAAGATACATATATCTCAAATTCATTGCAATAGGCGATCAATTTGTTAATGTGTAAGATTGAATTGATTATGAATCCCTGCCCTCCAATCAATTAGTTAATTTAGGAAATAAATAATTTACTTAAATTATTTATTTAGAAAATTTTCAGAGAGGTAAATGACTTTTTCATTTATTTTCCATTTGACTTTGATCATTTTGGTGTGTTGTAAAATAAATAACATATCAAATAAATCTGAGTCTAAGGAAAGTACTTGCAAAATTAATTTACTTATAATAGATTAACTAATTCAGGGAATAGAGAACTTGACCTTGATAGTCGATAGGAATTGACAGGTTTCTTTTATTTCATTGAAATTTTATTTTATATATTTTTTTTATAGAGATAAACCTACGAAATAATTTTAAATTTCGATTGAGGAAAAGCGAATTTGTTAGAAAGAAGTCAAATAAAAGCTGAAAATTTAAGTTAATTAATAAAATTATTTCATTTAATTTCATTCAGAACGAACGCAAAATTAATTATTCAAACTTAAATAATAAATAATTATATTAAATGATTGATTGTATATTTTATTATTCTATTAATAATTAATATTAATTTTTTTTGTAAAGTAAAAATATTCAACTTCGAAATGATATATGACATTCATTCATATATAAAAGTAGAAGTAAATAAGAAAATAAACAGCTGATCTACCGAATAATTATAGGAAAGATTCCTCTAATTTGGTAAACAAACAACAAGTTTTCTAAAAACAAAATAAATATTTTCTTTCAAATATATCTATGAAAATAATAAATTTAAGGATTGGTCTAATTTAAATAATTCTATTATATTATTACAATCATATCTGTTGATATAGCTGGCACGTGTCCATTGTATCAAATAATTAAATTTGAAAATACAATGTCCCTTTAAATTTAGACAATAGCCGTTCTTTCTTTTGTATTAACTTACGTAATGCGGGTGATCACCATCTAAACATTTATGTTTACGGTCGTTCAACCACATTTTTGAACTTATTAATTTCTCAGAACCGATGCAAATTAAGGCCTAGATTGATAAGAAGGTAAACATAAACACGTATAATAGTATATATCCCCGGTGTGAGAGTTAATAATGCTTTAGGTAGTTAGTAGACTACTAACTACTACTAAATATAAGGAAAAATTATTGTTAACTCCAAAATGTTACTTTTTCTTGACGCTACCCAACCTTTGAGAATATATGATTGTGCCCAAATTTTAGAATCGTCCCTCATGATAGTCAATCGATTCCGGTTTTTTCTAAGTCATTTATATTTAAATGTCAACAATTGAGAACCTAAGAAAGGACACCCGAATTATGACAAATTGTATAAATTGAGACCAATCATTGATACGCTTAGTCAGACGTTCAAATCCTGTTAGAATACAGGAAAATATCAATCTATTGACTAATCAATGATAAAATTCAAAGGCCGTAACAATCTAAAGCAATACCTGCCCTCAAAGCTAATAAAGCGTGGTTACAAAAGTTGGACACGATCAGATGAATCCGGTTTCGTATGTGAATTTCAAGTATATACTGGGAAATCTTATTCGATAGAAAAACAATTGGGCGCTCGTGTAATAAAAGATCTTACCCGTAAACTGGTTGGTGGAAACCATCATGTCTATTTTGACAATTTCTTTACTGGAGTGGATCTTTTAGTTGCTCTTAAAAAGGAACATATTTTTGCTTGCGGTACAGTACAATCAAATCGATCCAAATATTGATCAGTTTATAAAAATCGCCAGCCATATTGGATCCGCCGTTTTGAATTTTTCGAAACCGACAATGGTTCGTTTACAGCATTTAAAAATTGGAGAGTGTAACTCGTTCTTAGCGCTACCCAGAACTAACGGCGAGGACGTGACGAGTTTCTAGTTCCTTTTTTTTGTATTTTTTAAATTTTTTTTGTAATTTTGTATTTTTTTTTGTTTTTTTCATTATTTTTTTTTCATATATATGTATAAAAATGTATATAACTTAAATTTTTGACAATAAAAAATTGCTTGTAGGAAGCAGGTTTCGGCTATTTGTGATATGCCGAAAAACAATTTTGTGACGAGGATAAGCACAGAGGTACATCGCAAGTAGAACAAATCCATGCAGTTCTTTTGGGATTCTCTCGAGTACTGCAATTGGTATAACGTCTAAAGCCACCCAAGTTCACAGGCATATGAGCTGATTCAGACTGCCTTTTTGTGAGAGATACCTTCGGCTTATGTGCGTTTGCAATTTGCTGCTTTCGTTTTCGACCTCTCGATGCTGGTTTTGCGTGAGCAACCAATTTTTCTACCAGTTGTAGACGAAATTCCTTCAAAGTCCAAGTGGACTGAGAATTTTGATTTTTAAAGATAATAAATGAATTTACTACCGTTAGGTCTACAAAGTACCAAAATAGCCGTAACCACCATCTTTTCGACTTGCGGTCAATTTTATAAGTTGCTACTAGTCTGTCTGAATAATCAACATATCCCATGTGTTTGTTATAATCAGAAGCTACAACTGGACAATTTACAGCAAGCAGTGATCCATCTTTTTGCCTGCGGTTGACGACGGTCGTTTCTGATGGATCATGATAATTGGATAAAAAATAAACGAGTTTTTTATCCATCCATTTGATCCACTGGAGGCCTGTGGATGAAGTCATAAATTCATATTCCTCTTTTTTTAAATTTTTATTTGACTTTTGGTTCTTTGGCAATTTGGATCGATTTGATCGTACTGTACCGCAAGCAAAAATATGTTACTTTTTCAGGGCAACTAAATGATCCACCCCAGTAAAGAAATTGTCAAAATAGACATGATGGTTTCCACCAACCAGTTCACGGGTAAGATCTTTTATTACACGAGCGCCCAATTGTTTTTCTGTCGAATCAGATTTCCCAGTATATACTTGAAATTCACATACGAAACCGGATTCATCTGATCGTGTCCAACTTTTGTAACCACGCTTTATTGGGTTTGAGGACAGGTATTGCTTTAGATTGCTACGGCCTTTGAATTTTATCATTGATTCATCAATAGATTGGTATTTTCCTGGATTCCAACAGGATTTGAACGTCTGACTAAGCGTATCAATGATTGGTCTCAATTTATACAATTTGTCATAATTCGGGTGTCCTTTCTTAGGTTCACCATTGACGTCATTTAAATGTAAATGACTTAGTAAAAACCCGAATCGATTGACTGTCATGAGGGACGATATGTATGAGTCATTCAATTGAACGACCAATAATCTCGATAAGATGGCAATTTTTTTACTACCATCAAAATATTCATTCCCAAGAACACAAGTAGCTCGTTTTTAGTAACTGGCTTCTGTTTGCTGTTTTTTTGTCGTGCTCTACTTCTTCCTCACTTTCTTCTTCTTCTTCTTGAAATTCTTCAGCATTCAAAAGAAGAGGACAATCTGTTGCACCTTTCGTCTTTTGCAAAGATGGTACATCATTTTCATCTTCTGAATCACACAAACAATCAACAGATTCAGAATCACTCGGAATATCCACTAAGTCTATTTCGTCTTCCATTTTTTACGTACTTACCGTATGCAATGAATGGAACGAGTGATCTTCCCAGTACATCAGTACCAGTATACTAGTGTACTGAGATAAACGTAATAAACGAATAATAAAAATTTTTCAGAACAACTGAAGAAAGAATAATATAAAAAAACAAAAATTCCTGAAAAGAGACAAGAAACTATTGTTTTTGAGGAAAAGAAAAAAAAGAAAGAATAACAGAAAGAAGAAATAAAAAAATTAATAAAAGAAGGAAGGAAATTAAAAGTTCTTAAAAGATCTGATTTACACGTTTATAAAGTAAAAAAATTCCACTTACCTGCGAAAACGTACGAAAATTTCGTAATGTTTCTATCTGAAAAGTCACCTGCATTCATATATTACCTAATGCATGTAGTTAGTGAGAAAATTTTACTTCACCATCTTGCGGACCAAAAAAGAACTACAATTTCATGAATTCTCGATTTATCAGCAACATGGTAAAGTAGATTTCCTCATTATCTAAACGCGAAACGTAATGTATAAGTGCAGGTGACATTAGAGATAGATAAAAAACAAATTTTTCGTACAATTTTTCAGGAACGTAGAATTCTTTTACTTTATTGGACCCGCCATTTTGAATTTTTCAAAACCGATGTCGGATTCGTAATCAGCGACCCCGAAAACCCCCGAGTGACAAGTTTCAAGCAAATTCTGGTTCTTTTTGGAAAAATCGTCAGCCATATTGGATCCGTCATTTCGAATTTTTTAAAACCGACGTCGGATTCGTAATCAGCGACCCCGAAACCCCCCGAGTGACAAGTTTCAAGCAAATTCTGGCACTTTTTAGAAAAATCGTCAGCCATATTGGATCCGCCATTTTGAATTTTTCAAAACCGACGTCGGATTCGTAATCAGCGACCCCGAAAACCCCCGAGTGACGAATTTTAAGCGAATTGCGTTAAGTTTTCAAAAAGTTGTCAGCCATATTGGATCCGCCATTTTGAATTTTTTAAAACCGACGGCGGATTCGAATTCAGCGACCCTAAAAACCCCCATACCTGAACAGGCATTTTATTACTTGGAAGGAGTCTATTATTTTGGTATTTTTTATGAAGTATGTGACATTTTATTACTTTTATTTGTTTAAAACATTACTTTATTTATGTAATATTGTATATTTTAGTTTCTTCTTTCATTCAGTTATACTCATGGTATTATAAGATGCAAGAAACAACCATTTTTAATTTAAAAATTACACGTGCATTATTGAAAATGTTAAATAACATATGTGGTCAGTAGCACTGACCACCGTGCTGCAAAGGGTTAAAAACTAATAATGCTTTGGTTTAATTGTACTTTTTGGAGTATACTAACAGTTCTATATTTAAATCGTAGTTACTTTTTACTGTGTATGGTTTGTCCTTTGTATTCCACTGTTCCTAATAAAGTGTATTTTTCCCCAGTCATTGGACACGTATAGGATTTTGGAATATTCTCCAACGTTATGGTATGATCCATGTCCACGCCTATTATTGTTATATCGACTAAAATAAAAAAAGTTGATTATTTTTGGGTAAATGTTGTAATTCAATAAACATTTGTTAATATTTTAATTAAGTGTTCAGTATGTAATGATGTTTTTTAATATATTTAGAACATTATATGTAGTTTAAAATTTAAGTAATTAAATAAATTTGTTTCTATCCTAATACACACCTATTTTTTTAATCTCCTTATCTACAATTTCTTTGCAATTTTTTTCTGGGCACGGTATGCTTTGCAGGAGGAGATGATCTTTTATGACGTTTCCCAAAGGTTTCGTTAATTCTTTTTCACTTATCGTTATAGTGGGAAGTGATCTTGCACGGGGTTCGCAACCTCCTCTGCAAATTGAGATTTCTTGAAAACTTGGTTGCATTTTAAACAGAAAGTTTGATAAAGAGACACCGTTACAGGCGCAGTCCAGACTAATTATTTTTTTAGTGTTAGTTTCAATTTTCAAATAATCAAGAAATATTTGTGCCCGTATTTAGTAAATTTTCTGTGTAATTTGATGCTCTTCAACCTTAATGACCATTTGATATAAAAGACTTTGTGAACTGTTTTCAATAATATTATATTGTTTTATTAATTCATGGTCTATTGCAGCAGATATAAATATTTGAAATAATGAGTCAAGAGGACACGTGTTTTTTAAAGAAAGTTTTGCTCCTGCAAGTGTCACTGAACTTAGATTTTCGCTGTTTCCATTTTTCAGAATCGTCAACTTTCGACCTTTTCTGGAATTGATTATGTCAAGTACCTCAAAATTAGTTTTCTGTAGGTTCATTTGAGGTTTTTTTTGCTATCCTAAATCTCTCCAGTTCGCTATATCATTGAGAGCTATTCTCGCTTCCTGCTTTGAACGTTTACAGCATTCTACACAAAGTCTTTTTTCTCCATGTCCTTCTGCCTGATTTATTCCAATTGAACATCCATCTAATAGATGTACATTGCAGCCACATATGATGCAAGTATGACTACCAGAAGGGTAGTCACCATTTTTGCATGCCAAGCAATTTGTTGGTTTGACAATGTTCTGCTCTAAGGAGAAGTCTTTCATTGGGCTTCGAATTGATGGGTTCTTGTTAGGAGTGCTTGTGTCAGTCATTTTCATTTTTTTAGAGAAGTCTCGAATGAGTCCTCTAAATCAAAATTTGTATTTTCTGTACAGTTTGTCGAAATTTGTTCTGTTTCACTTTTATTTATTTCTTCTGAATTTTTTTGATTGCACTCTATAATTTTTAATTTGCCGTCATAGTATTTTACTACAGTTTCGACTGCTTCGTCTAGTCGCCAAGCTTTTGTCAAAAGTAGCTTTAAAATTTTAAATTCGTTTTCTACGGGTGCACTGCTAGCTGGCACTCTCCCATAGCCGTAGTCATCCCGTAGAATACATGACCAAAGAGGAATTGTTTTTATTTGTGTTAGAAGACGTTTAGCAACTTTAAGACAATGTCGTGGATTGAGATCATCTCCCTCTTCTTCACTCAAAATATTCTCGACTTCCATGTTAATGGATTTTGCCCAATCGGCCAAAATGCCTTCTTTGTCATTTCTTTTATTTTCTACAATTTCATAGAGTGAATCGACATTTAGCTCTTTGTTTTCTTCTTTTTCTACCAATGTTGCTTCCACAATTTCTTCCATTTCTGGTGTCGTGTTTCGGATCAATTGTTTGATGTGTTCAACTGCCGTTTTAAGATTGTCCGCTTCGTTGCCTGCAGTTGAGCAGTTCAAAATAATCAAGATAGATTTGATGATTTCATTGGCATCTCCTTGATTTCTGCATAAAATTTACTGTCCTATTGAGAAAAGGTAAAAAATTTTAACCTCCTTTCTGTCATTTTTAAATATGTTTGACCAATTTTTTAAATAATATGCAACATCAATTATAACGTATGTTGAAAATGGTCCATTTTCCATTGATTGCTCGCCATATACAAGAGTATTCTCCATACCTGTAAATGTGATGCAACAAGCATTTAACCGAGCATTTGATGAATCGCAAACCTAAAAAAAAAATGTCATACAGTTGAAAAGTGTAATTTATTTTTAATGTAAAATCAATTAAAATCAAAATTTTATATTTTTAAATGTTGTTAAAATATTTATATAATTGAAATAATTGTAAAATAGGTAAATGGTGAATGTCCAAAGGAATAAATAAATAAAGAAATAAAATATTAATACCACTTCTCTGGGATATTCTGCTCCACTCTGAGTAAATCGCTGCAACCAGGAGCATATTGTTACTGTATCTTGCTTTTCCGAGAACATACTGGGAACAGCAAGTTGAGAAATTTCCCATGACAATACTCCGATGTACAAAAAAATATGTTGCGATTTTTTGTTATCAACATGCATTACGGACTATTTATTTATTTATTTATTACATATCTCCGCAGTTCTTTGAGGACCATAAACGGATAACTACAAAATGTGCTACGGTCAAACAATTCGAAAATACAAAAATAAGAATAAATATATGCAATATGCCCTGAAATAATCAATTTTGACGACGACTAGTGACGTACTTAAGAAGAAAATCGTCGAATACAGAAGGATTAGCTGAGATTAAGTCAGTGTTAGTATTCAAAGATCTGTACATTAGGTTAATATGATAGCACCCGAAGTATATCGGAGTACTATTTATTAATGCTATGTCACTTAGACGGAAATAAAAAATATCGTCACGTCGCGTAAAAAATCGTGGTATATTGAAATTAATTAAGTCAAGAAGAGTTGGGCAATCAATTTTATATTGAATCATTTTCAAGATAAACATGGTCGCAGAAATGATGCGTCGTTCGTTTAAAGTTATAAAATTAAATCGCTCACAAAGCATTATATAATCAGATCCCCTTGGAGGGTATGTCCCATCCACCTTGAAGGCAAAAATTTGAGAAATCGTTTTTGAATTTTATCAACACTATCAGAATATTTTTATAGTAGGGAGACCATATTAAATTCGCATATTCTGCTGAGGGTCTAACTAAAGCATTAAAAAGTGTGGTAAAAGTGCCAATGTTTGAGAAACTCTTAGATGACCTCAAAAGATAACCTAGGGTCTTGGAGACACTAGCAACTAACGACGAGATATGATCAGTAAAGTTGAGGTTGCTAGTAAAAGACACACCGAGATCCTTGTCAG